GAGACCTGTCCATTCGACAACGAAGTCTGTTGTTGTTGATGTCTACGATAGACTATGCTATCCCCCGCATCCATGCCGAGAGCAATTTCGTCTCTTTTGGTGAAGGAGAAGTCTCCACGTCATAATTATGTTGTGGTTCGGCGGCCAAAAACTGGTTCTTGAGACTGCCCCTCCGCGTGCTGGGTGCTGGTGAACAGAAAGCAAGATAGAGGGGGTTCTTGCTGGGAAAAGCACACCAAGCAGGGGAGACAGGATTCACTCTGCTCGTGAACTCTCCGGTCGATCGTTCCCATGGGATCTCTGCTGCCTTACAACAACGGGAGAGCTGCTACTGGTGGTCGCTGTCGACAAGCAATCGCGGGGCTTGGCCTGACCAGGTGAGAGGAGGGGAGGAGTAGCCCCGCTCCAAGAGAAGAAGCAGCGCTTCACACTCTAGCTCATGAATGACAGATACCTTCGAACCAGCTAATGGGCGGGCGCTCTGACTCTCTGTTGTATTCATGCATGTCCATAGACTTTAGACTTGTTTGGAAGTCTCAGAAACTTGTCGGGTTGTCGGTGCTATATCATTGGCACCGGTCGCCCGGGTGGTCTAGTTGGTATCCTCGAAACCTTCTAGAGGTCAGTCAGGTCAGGGGTTCGAATCCCGGCGTAAGCGAGCTTTTCTTGTAAAGTGAGTTTTCTCTCGCTTCCGCTCCTGGCCTAGTGGATAGCGCTAGTTCGTGTGTACACAGAGGGAAGAGAGTGCTGAACTCTTCTCGCATTAAAATCAAGGCAAAGTACCGCATGGGGGGACAGTAGAGAGGCGCTCTTCTGTGTGACCACGGGTTGGAGTAAGCGGCACCACCAGTGCTGTGAGCGCTGATTTGAAGTGAAATGGTCGAACGCGTGCGTGAATGGCGCCACCTATCATTGAGCGTATGCATAAGCACACATGCAGGAAGATGTCGACGACTGATGTCTTTGCTAGGCGCGGCGACCTAACTATGAAAGAAGCTGGTGGGCCCGTGTATTTCGCGGAAGAAGCGGAACTCCACCCGTTGTGCCATCCGGATGTACATGGTCGCAACACGGCAAGCTGAGGACAAGTCAAAGTTGTTCCGCGAGATACGATAAATATGTCGGGGGTTGCACATACACATATATGTGATGCGCACCAGCGACAGTTTGCGAGTGGACCCGTACCAGTTGAATTGCGTTGTGTGTGCTGTGTGCATCATATTGACATGGATATCCGGAAACGTCTGGCCCTGACATCATTGGGACGTCGCATGGACACTCGACGGGACGAGCGGACGTGCCACGCGTCCCAGCGGTTTTCAACATCCCTGCAGCACGGTACTTTGTTTTTTTTTTCTCCCATCATTGGACTCTGTCGTCTGCCCCTTTGGCTCCTATCCTCCACTTTTACCAGCAAGACGACCCAACCGGGGTCACATAGGAGGGGGGGGCTGGACCCCCTCCTGAGGTTCCCGCCTGAGATATTTTCATCGCGAGAAGGGTACAGCAATCCCTTTCATCGCGACTTACGAAGTCGATCAAGTCTACTAACAACGCACTTGCGCGTCGCTTCCAACGGTACTTTTTTTTTTTTGTCTCCCATCATTCGAGTCTGTCGTCTGCCCCTCTGGCCCCTATCCTCCACTTCTACCAGCTAGACGACCCAACCGGGGTCACATAGGAGGGGGGGGCTGGAGCCCCACCTGCGGTTCCCGCCTGATATATTTTATCGCGAGAAGGGTACAGCAATCCCTTCCCTCACGACCTATGAAGTCGATCAAGTTTACAAACAACGAGCTTTGCAGCGCGTCGCTTCCAACGGAGATTCGGATTTAATTGGCGACAAAGAACTCACACTGTCGGGACTCGAACCCATGTCCTGGCCCTTTGCAGGCTTCGAGGCTACCCACTAGATCACCGGGGCGACCGGTGCTGTAGCTAGCTGCTGGTTGGAGATGCAATGATTTCTCGCACAGGTGCATTTAGTCTATTTTTCAGATAGGTTTGGTGGTGGGAGTTTCCCGAACTTGGATAGTCGATGGGCAAAAAAGTGCCTACCCAGAGCAATCTCCCACATTACTGACAGTTTTGCGAAATAAACCGCCTATGGGCGGTCCCATGGGCGGCCCTGCCCACGAAGTGCCCACCGAGGGCACTTCAACCTATAACTTCGCCACCGGCGTTTTATCCTAGAACTTAGCCATCGGCACATGAACCTACAATAGATGTTGGCCGCCCAACACCAACCTACCACGTATCGTGTGGGCTTGGGGTTAGGGTTGGGGTTAG